TTCGAATACCCAACATTAGTATACGATAATCTACTCAAAACGACTCTCAAAATACACAAACTCATCCCAAGAACTCATCAACACCTCAACAATCAAGATTACGAAAGGAAATTCAAGAAAACTCATCAAAAACTCTAACTCTTCAACTTCAAGAACAAAATTTTGCTGAAAATAACATGATTGGCGTGTGGGTGAACGAACCCAACACTATGAGAAATCACATACCTCTTATGGATTAAACCCTTGGCGAAACAACCTTCGAATCACAAGAAAACTTGATGAACGCCTTGACTTTTCACCTTTTCTCCTCTTCTTGAACTTCTCTCAAAACCCTAGCGTAAATTAGAATTTAAAAAACTGAACCAAATCAGTTTAGACCCCTAAGTATTACCAAAATTCACTTAAATCTGAAAGGGTAAGGAAAAGACCAAAACATCCCTCTTAAATTCGAGTAACTTTCCTTAACTGGATAAACATACTTCAAATGATCATATCTCCCTCATACGAGTTTGAAAATTAGCAAACTTGGTGGCGTTGGAAAGAGGATTCCAAGACTTTTCATTTGATATCTTATGGGACACCTAACTCATCCTGTACTGAAAGTTATGGTCGTTTGAAGTTGACCCAAAACTCATACTTAGCATAACTTGCCAAAATTTCCAAATTTACTCTTTCCAAAATCGTTCTTTTTAATTTAGTTCTTTCTAAGGCGGGATGTTACACGTGAGTTGATCGAATTTTTTTCGCCGGTGACGACTGTTGTTTCTCTGTTTCTTCATCTAATTTTAGTGATCAGTGTAGAGGAAACTGTATTTACTATAAGAATGGAGATATAATTGTTGACATCTTGGGAAATGACCTTAGCGAGGAAGCGAAACTTAGATATAAAGGATGACATGGTCAACACACAGGTATCATTACCTTACAAGATGGTAAACTTGGTTCCTTGTCATCCTTCCTCGAACATGCAAATATTTTTTGGCCATTTCCATCTTGGCTTTTTATTGACGATCTGTCCGCTTCTAAAATGTTTTCTCCTCGAATGTTGCCTTTTTTATTTGAAATACTAGACATGTAAGGTCGTGTTAGGACGAGCCCAAATACAAATGTTTTAACTCGATTCAATTGTATACAAATTCAAATTTTATGCAGATATACAAATACAATCATTGATACAGATACACATATAGTTGGTGTATATATATATATATATATATATATATATATATATATGTATACACATACACACACACACTCTCTCGCTAGCATCTGCCCTCTCTCTCCTAATCTCGCTCGCCACTCTAGCCTAACACAAAGAACATACACATATACAAACACAATTTTCATAGACACATACATCTGATTAGACAAATCACCGCGATTTATACAAATCAGATGCTCCATAGAAAACTATGTTTGCTATGCAACGTAAATAACAAAACTGTAGCTATAGAGCGCTAATATGATTTTTATGTTTGTTATTCCTAAAATTTACTCTACAAAAAACTAAGATTTGTTTGCTTGATTAGCACAATTAGAAACACAACAAAACTTGGTCCGAGCTAGTAATCCACGAATCAATATTGAAGAAAAGTAGATTAGAGTAGAAGTTAAAGAAGATATTTTTGCTTGTCATGGATTTTTCATATGGACATTATATTATAGGCTAAATAGTGTTTGAGATATGTAGTTTTCAGTAGCAATGTCAAGCATGCTCTTAGTGTTTGAGAAATTATGCTTGCCGCTTATCTTTCTACTTTAGTTATTTAATTAATTTGGTAGAACTAGTGGATTGACTTAACTATCGATTGAAAACATAAGTGCCATCATGATTTGTGATTTTGGATCGCGATACGTAAAAAAAAATTCAATATCAGGAAACGGGGAATGTAGTATCCAATTTCTGTTGTCACCTTACTACAATAAGATCAAAATCAATACCCCCCCCCCCCCCCTCCCAGCAATGTCAAGTATGCTCTTAGTGTTTGAGAAATTATGCTTGCCGCTTATCTTTCTACTTTAGTTATTTAATTAATTTGGTAACTATCAATTGAAAACATAAGTGCCATCATGATTTGTGATTTTGGATCGCGATACGTAAAATGTTTTTTCTTCTTTTTCTATGCAAAAATCTTTTTTTAAAATTAATCTCTTTCCTCGTTATGAGCATTCATATATTACCTTTAACTCTTTCTTCGAAAAGGGATTATAAAAATGATAGTAATTATTAAAAAAACGTTCCTATTCAAAGATGTAACTGATTGACTAAAATTTAGCAGTAATCACAAAAACATAATCTTTTCCTAATTAGCTTATTGTAACGATTTTTTCCATTAACTTATCAACTAGGTATCTTTATTACTCCACTTTTCACATGTGAACCCAAAAAACGCTAATTAAATTCTCTTAATTACCGTTTTCCTTCTTCGTCTTCTTTCTTTGATTTATAATTCACAAATGAATATGATTTATTTCATCAAAATTCCATTGTGTCTACAGAATATGATCATGTAGTTTGTTTTTTAATTATCGCCTTTTGACTTTGAACTATAGGGTAATGGATTTTTCTAAATTTCTTTGGATTTAACGGGACTCCTACAAATTTTTGTTTGATCTAGGAAATGATAAAAAGAGAAAAATATAGCATGTTTGGTTGGCTTAAAATGTTTTTCAAATCAACTCATGTAACTCAAATTTAAGGAAAATGACTTCCCTTCCAAAATTAAGGAAAACATTTTCCAAAACTCTACTTCATTCTTTATTTTTTTTACCCTACCCCATACGCTATACTCGCCCTCTCCATTCAAAAAATAAATTAATTTTTTTAAATTTTCTTATTTTTTAAATTTAAAATATATTTTCATCCCTACCCCAAACCAATCCCTCATAAAAAAGTAAAAAAATTAAAAATTATTTTTGAAAAATGTTTCAAATTTTAAGATTTTTTTACCTCACCCAACCCCTACCCCCTACCCCCTTAAAAAAATATCTTTTGAAAAATATTTCAAATTTAATTTTTTAAATTTTTTTACACCACTCCCTCTGCCACCCCCATTTAGGTCACCCCCTCCCTTGCTGCCCCAGTCAATTTTAAAAAAAAAAGTTATTTTTAGGAAGTATTTCAAATTTAATTTTTATTTATTTTTTATACCACCCCTACCCCGGCCACCCCACCCAGGCCATTTCCATCCATTTGTTTTTTTTTTAAAGAAATTATTTTTGGAAAATATTTCAAATTTTAAAAATTTCATTTTTACGCCACCCCATCCCT